TCACTGTCTGCATCTGCTTGCCTTTAATCTTTCCCTCCACTATGGTCTTTAAAAGAGTCATGTCTTTGAATATGGCGAAATATCCACCCCTTCCCCCCCCCCTCTCTATCTCTCTCTTTTCATCCCTTCTCCCGTTAGAACCTCTCCTTTTGCGGCTCCTCTACAGCATAACTATGGTGGACAATACAAATTAACTACCAGCCTATGCGCCGATCCAGAACAAACATGAGAAACACATTCAAGTGTATTGATTTCCTTATCTAGCCTGTTCTCTTTACTTGATGTCGGGTAGACAGGGCCAGTATCCAGAAAAGGGGAGTCAAGCCAAATCATTTGGCGTGTACAAAATGTATTCGCTCCCGTGTTATTTTTACATGTCAACGGAACACAGTCTGATACAAAAGGCGAGCAGGCGGCCTGTATGGCAGGACATAACCTGTTCACGGGATGGTGACGCAGAGAACAAATCTCAACCACTACAGTAGGATGGTGTTCATATATTTGCCCTAGCAAATGGGTAACAAAGCATCACAACGAACTTAGCGGCTTAATTTATTTTACAATTTTCCCTTTGTCTTATTGGAGCGCTGCGGCAGAGAAATGGTCCGTTATTTAATTGGTCTCAAAGGTTATCGCGGACTGATACTTCACAGTGAAACATCGTGGAGGATAGGCAATGTACTCTGATCACGAGACGAATCGTGTGCACTATGATGCTGTCTAGTGGCTAGCTGCTTACTCTCGGGAGTTCTATACATGTAATTAAATTAGACAACACTGCTCGACAACAGCACTGTTTATACATGTCCACCGTTTTCAATTCGTGTCACACGCATGACTCTGCCCCATGCTACGTTGTCAGCGCGACATCCTACCGAAGCTATCTCCCTAATTATGTTTTCTGTACAATGAGAAATAAGCCCCCGTGGAATAGCTGCTGCACCAACTTGCCTGGTCGTGGTTAATATTACATGAGGCCAGATATCTGGACAGCCGCGGCACAGTTAATCAAATCCGCTGATACGGCAAGATGTGCTCTGGTTTCAATTGCCGACAGCTGCGCCATTAAAAGGACATCTGAAAGTCCCGTGGTGCGGGATGTTTGGGTGCGAATGTAATTTCGTTAAATCTCAAAAGAACCACTGATTTGTTACACCCCCATGGGACCCCAGACCGGAATCTAAAAAGCGAAAACAAAGTGCCATTCAGGCACAGCATGGAGTGCTACTTTTGAGGAATGGAGCCAGACTTTTTTTTAAACGATCTTGGTTCCCACGTCGATTCAGCCTTCAATATGTACCAGATAAAGTTCTAGCAAGGTATAGGTATAGCCCTATATACCCAGTACACCTGAAAGGCACGGGGGTCGTTTCTCATTTAAGAGCAGTATGATCAAATAATAAATATTACTGTGCTGAACAGCAAGTTAACATTTTTTTTTTTTAAATAATGCGAAATGCATAAACAAATACTTTTAAAGAGAATTTCTAGATATGGATAAAGAAGCCCGCATAGCCCCCCCCCCCCTCCCCCCACCCTTTTTTCCCAACCATCCTCTTTTTTTCACACAGCCCGAGGGCATCTGATCTTTACTTGTTCATGTAATCAATAAATGTTTTCACACCAATTTCCAACGGCGTTTGAGTCACTAAAGTGGCGCATGGGAGTGAGCTAAATAGTTTTAGATGGGCGACATAGCCCGTACGACATGGCATAGCAGTCAGATCTATCCATAACAAATAAACAGAAAACCAGTAGTTATCTACGTTTACAGCGAGTATTTGTTTACCCCCCCCCCCCCCCCCCCCCCCCCAACCTATTTAATTTTTCTAGCATTTCCACATAGAATACAGTATTATCTTTCAGTTTTCCCCAAACACAGCTGCATATATCTGACAAATACAATAATAAATCAAGGCTGTACGTCACGCTCCACCACGTAAGGTTATCTTACAACCACTACCCACCCTCAACCCCCTTTTTTTATCGCATGATTCAAATGCTCTCCTGGTGAATAAGAGATGTAAAGTGAGGGAAAGCCAAGATATATAACTAGATGATTTGAGAGCACAAGAAGAAGATAACAACTAGAATACACCCAGAAACCGCGTTCGCTCCACTTCTGTTGGGTCCCATATTTTTATATACTTATAAATAGCCCATATTGCGGCTCAAATGGCAAAAAATAACGCCAGAGTGGGGGCGTTACAAATGAATGAATGAAAACCATTTACACGTCCTAAAAAACCGGACATTAGTGCCTATTTGCGGCCCCTCAGTAAATAACTATGTGGAATTTAACAGAAAAGGAAATCTTATGGCAAACTCACATGTCAAACAAAATACCACTCTATTACTTCGAAAGGCGTACAGTGTTTACATGCAGTAAAATCCTGGTTAACACAAAATTCCTTAAGAAGAACACCCAGTTAACGTGAATAAAATTGTAGTCATAGCAGGGGTGTATTTATTATTATTACTAGTTTTCCCATCAGCACGACTTAGTTTAACATGAACTAGATTTTATGTCCCTTGGAACTGTGTTAACAAGGTTTTGCTGTTGTTGTATTTCCATAATAGACAGGTCGGCCCTCGATGGGTGATCTGGTCTGTATCACACTTATCACTTTGTAACTTACCAGGAAATACCATGTTACCCATTTTTCCTGGGTACACAGTAATATTAATAATATTAATAATAATAATAATAACCCTCACCATCATCTCCGCCTATAATGAAATATGTAAACAAGATCGCTAATAGACAGGAATGCTAGTCACTGGCTTCTTAACTTTAATATGTATTTAAAAACATAAACAACCACTGAACATTAAAAAAAAAAAAAAACAGAACTACGCAGAAGCTTTAGTTACATATTGAGACAGGGGTCTACTGCTGAAATACAAGGGAATGGAAGGCATGAGACATGCATACAGGCACCCTAGAAACAACTATATCACACTAGCAAGCAAACCAATTTGAGGGCAGACTTGGGCTGAGGTGGAGAAAGGCTTAGGAATTATCTGATCGACTTCATTGCACAATTTTTTTTTTTTTTTTTTTTTTTATTTCATTTGGTTCTATTTCTATTGTGACATTGGCGGCCGCCTGCTGTGGAAGTCACAAGATGCACGAACGTCATTGCTGCAGTCATCCTCATGGAACTCCGAAAGAAAATTTGCACTAGTGAACCGAACAACGTAGCCGGAAATCGAACCAGTGACATTCAGAGCGCCAAGCAAATAGCTTGATAATTTTGCCTTGTAACAGAGAGACAGTGAATGAGAAAAGGAGGCGTGAAAGGTCATGAGGACAGAGCTATCGGAACAGGACATGAACAGGAAGAGGTCAGGACACAGGGGAGGAGAGTGATCAGACGCTTCAATGTACAATCGTACAAACTGACATAATGAATGAACCCCAATGTCCCAATTCAAATACTATTATAAGTATTTCGCTACAGTGAGAAACTTTCGTGTATATGTAACAATGATGTACAATGCGATATAGGTACATTGTTCTTATTTGGTGTGTGTGTGTTTCTTTTTAATATAAGCTAATACCAAGTCTGCAGCAGGGTCAGACAGAGAAGGAGTTTACATCTGCTAGGTCACAGCGTGATGAAGAAGGGTTAAGCAGTTCCCTTCTTCGCCAACTTTATTGTCTATGGACATCGTTGGTGTCAATATAAAATAGCAGACTAAACATCTAGCGCCCCCCCCCCCCCCCCCTCCCAGAAACATCTTAACACCTTTCTTCACCCCCCATCCCCCCAAGAAAAAAAAAACATAAGACGAGTCAGTGTTAGTAAAATTTTCTTTACAGACTTCACAGAGTCACATGCCTGGTTACAGTAGCACACATGAAGCAATGACAACAGAGATAGAGATGAGGTGCTGAGTAAAGCAAATAGTCTCTATGACAACATCAAATTAATCGGGGCAGACATTTCTGAAGATTCTGGCGACATCAACACAAATGCATTAGAAAAGCGTGAAAATTAAGTTTTCCGGAGAATTCATCAAAACCACAAGGTGCGGTGTGGCTCTAAGAAAGTGACCAGTTCAGGCAACACAAGGTTCGATGTGGCTTTTTTACCACAAGTGGGTAATGGACACCGTAGCTCTATGCAAACTGCCAGGTCCAGGCAACACAAGGTTCCATGTGTCCCCCCCCCCCCCCCCCCCCCAAAAAAAAAAGTGGATAATGGACACCATAGCCCTAACACAAATGACCGGTCTAGGCTAATCTTTTTCTTCTCCCAGTTCAAATGATGGGGACTAGAATTGTTCATGAAGTTTTTAACGTAGGACTTATGCACAGTGTATCTACAGCATAATGAACTGTTGGTCTTTCAGTTGGCATCATCGTCTATGTTGTCAAGTGATATCTGTTTATTTCAGTATGTTTCTTCCAGGATTGCAGTCTGCAGGATAACCACATCAAAGATGAGAATACGACAAGTACAAATCCTGATTAGCTCCGTTCAACTGTAAGGTTAATTTCACACACCCCCCCCCCCCCCCCACCTTTTCTTCCGTGGCTACGAAATAACCAGAGGTCCCGACTTGATATGGCGATATGAGATGCATGTCAAAGTACAATGACTCGTCTCGTCCATTATCTTCTTGGGTGGTCTGGTACTTTCCTGTCAGATATTCGTAGGTGTCTAAGTGTCTACGTGTTGCTGCATTCTAACAAGATACACAGATCCGTTCATCTTGTATCTCTGTGTATTTTTTATGGCCAAAGGAAAAACAATACAAGAAAGTGGCTCGCTTTATTGCGGTATAGGTATTAGCTTTACTGCGGTGGACAGGGGGCTTGAACTCGAATTATCTCCAAGTATGTCTTTAGATGAAGTGAAAGAGGTTGTCATAAAGCTCACAGGACTGCCAAGATTTACTGAACGTGTTCACATCTACAAGTGTATAACACGGTACAGAAGAAAAGCCCGACAGAAAGATCAACATTTATTTTGATAACACTGAAAACTTACATGGACAGGACCACGGGTAATGTCCACCAAACACTGTAACGTTTGGATTATCTCCACCTGTGAAACAAATACAAACGCCTTTAAAATAATTGAAGTCATGTTCACACAAGTATTAACATTATCGAATAAACGGCATAAATAAGTCCAGGATGTTGTCAACATTAAATGTTTATATGAAATGGGAAAGAAACATGCAATAAGTGCAGACTGTGTATGCGAAGTTCTATTCCTCGCTATTGCTTACAATTTTTTTGAAGCAAACGAGTAAAATGCACTGCTCTTTTTCACTCAAGCCTGTTTAACCCAATTGTGTTTAATTCCATTTGTAAACTCGTTTGTTTTTACGAGTCAGCTCTAAACATTCACAATGAATATTAACCCCACCCACCCCCCCCCCCTTTTTTTTTTATCTTTAGAGGTTTTGAACAACGGATCAACATCATGGCACACGGGTAGTAACCCATAAGTGCTCCGATCTTCTTCTAACTCAAGTCTGAGTCAGAAAAAGCTCAGCACAGTGCACAGGCTCTGTAGCACCGGCGAGGATCCTGAACTACTTGGGTAGATTTTTAACTCCAAATTTTGCCCTGGCAGAGCAGTTAGGCTACTCTTTTCGATTTCCAAATGCCAGGGGATTTTTTTACTTGCTCAGCGATGCACATGGGCGTCCGACCTCACTACCCGGAGACCAGGGGAAATTACTAGAGGTTCAAGCCCACGTGAAAAAATCCCAGCCCTTACCGGGGATTGAACCGGGAACCTCTAGCACTCGAGGCGGACACCATGTCTCGAAACCACGCAGCCCTCCTCCCCCTTATCTTTTCCGTACTACTAGCTGAGAGTATGTCACAACAGCAAGCTTTATGTCAATCCTTAGGGCTCATCACAGATACCAGTCAAGTACCTAAGATAGTTAAATTGTGACACTTTCATGTTTATACCAAGAATCGAGAGGATGTAAGAAGGGAGAGGAAAAAAGAAAAATGGAGCGGAAAAAATAAAAGTGGAGCGGAATGAGATACCAGTAGGTCACGTACATATTAAAAAGACCGCGTTTGGTCGCCGATAAAATTCAGCTTTGCAACATGGCTTTTGCTTGTAACATCTTTATTGTTCATCTCAAAAAAATTACTGGCACAGCAGTCCTTAAATATATAAGCTATTCAACGTGTCTGATAACGGAAAGTCGTTAACAGACAATGCTAGTAATAGGCTGCAAAAAAGTCACTGACTGACATCTTCTTCTTCTTCTTCACTTCCTCTTTTACCGCTGTGGGTGTCGAGGGAGATATAAGGTTCTGTTTCTAGCTCTTCTGGCCGCCTCGACCATAGGCACATCGTGCTGTTGTAGAGTTTCTCTGATGTTATCCTTCCATCTTGTTCTTGGTCTACCTCGTGATCTACGTCCTTCTTCTCTTACACTAGTGAAATCTAGTATTCTCGGGGGGGGGGGGAACAAGGGGGGGGGGCGCTACCATTCTAAGAATCTGATCTGGGAGGCAGGGGGAAAAGCAGTTGTGATAACAAACGAATGCACTGATTTACAACATGTAGTATGGCTTTTACTACATTTTTAAATGCAATTACAACAGCGAGTCTTTTCGCTTTTTTTTTTTCTTTTTTTGTAACACAATTGTGTAATTGAAAGCAACCACAGGTTGTTGTTGTCTATTTTTTCGTTCTTCTGGCAGTATGTGTAATTTCTTTGCCCTAAACTCTGGCACAAACTAACGACCGGGACTAAGAAATGTCTCGATAACTCTTCCCTGCCACGGGGTCTCCTTATGCCCAACAAATTAAATTTAAATTTGAAAAATAAAAAATCTGGAAATTGCTTAACGCGACTCTCCATACTTCGTAACAAGGGAATTGAAAGAAGGAAGGAAACGATTATCGACGATACTACAATTATGTATACACAACTGCACAAACTGACGTTAATTGTTTGTTCATTGTCAAAGTGCACAATGTCAACATTCCAACTGTGTAGTCTATAAAAAGGGAAAGCAGTGACACAATGCAGGCAAATAATTCCCCACAGGGTCTGGCACTATCCTGAGATATGAATATTTTGACGTTCAACCAACGGTCCTTGTGTCTAATATTTAATGTTAAAGTCTAGACACCATCAAACGCCTGTTAATTGCTAAAATCACTATATAATCACAGTTTAATCTATCAGTAGAGTGGGATTGGGGGGGGGGGGTGGCGGGAGAAAAAGGATAGTAATTTGAAATTACCCACAACATATTTACAGAAACGTTCTGTAATACAGAAGACGGAATTCGTATAATGCTACCCGACCCATCGGCAACTAAATCCAATCTAACAGTCAAAAAGGCTTAAATGCAATGTTATTAATCAGGGGCGCCTAAACGTGGGAGCATAGGCACCTTAAGACACCATCCCACCAAACCATCTCCGTTGGAACGTCTGGGAGCTCAGGCACCTTGAGACCCTCTCCTAAATGTTTGGAAGGGGCTCTGAACAACCCCCCTCTCCTCACCCTTCCCATCTTCCCTCATGTTTTCCTTGAGCCGGCGCACTTGGTGTGGAAATGAAAGAGGATCTACCGACCTTTCCAAATCAGCACTACAAGAATTGGCACTAGGGAAACGTAGCCCAGGAAGTCAAGAAAGACCTGGACCGACCAGATAGGCCTCGGATACGAAAACACCAAGCACCGCGTATACTGTCGGCAGAAATGGGAAGATCTGGTCAGAGAGTAATTTAGTAAACCAAAGACAGTCTTATGATATTAGACTGAGGGAAGCTGTGACTCAAGCAATGCATTCAGTTTCAACCATGTGATAGTGTGAATAAGAAATAACCGGCAGCTGGTCTAACATGCCTAGGCATAATTGTTTATTCAACGGATCGACATCATGGCACACGGGTGTAATCCATAAGTGATCCGTTTTTCTTCGTTGAACTCAAGCTCGAGTAAAGAATCTCAGCGCAGTGCACGAACTCTGTTGCACCGGCTAGGATCCTGAAATACTTTGGGTAGATATTTAGCTCGAAATTTTGCCCGGGCAGGGCTGTTAGGCTGCGCTTTTCGATTTCCAACTGCCAATAGATTTTTTTTACATGCGCAATCATACACACCATTCCCCAGAGACCAGGGAAAATTTCTTGAAGTCCACGTGAAAAATCACAGCCTTCATCGGGGTTTGAACCCGGGACCTCTAGCACCATGCCTTGAGACCACATAGCTCCATCCTAGAACATAATTACAGACGAGAAACTGCCCGTCGCAAACTGAAATACGAACAATACAAATATATGATTGTGAATATAAGTGACCACCTAGGACTATGACTAGCTAGTCAATATAGAAACGTCAGTGCATGAATGTGAAGTTTTTTCTTTTTTTAACCTGAAGTTTTTCCTGTACCAACAGATGTAGAAGATTTGTTCTTTGCGTTTGCCAATTGAGAATATATGCATATCATAATCGCATGTCAGCCACAACCCATAATTTTATTCATTGCTCACAGTGGAGACTTAGGCGCTAATTTTCTAATCAAAGCTGTCTTATCAAATGCCTTTCTCGTGTTACAGATTTCACTGAATCAATATGACGCTGTTCACTATTTTCGTTAGTGTCAATTTTGTTCCTTCCCCTGAGACTGGTCACCACGCTCCTGCTAGTATGAAAGGTGTTCTTGAAAAAACAGTGATCAGCGATTAGAAAGGACCATCATCACAACACTCTGGACAGATCCACAGGTGCTCCGATCTCCTCCTCAAAAACTCCACGAGTGTAACACGACTGATGACACCTGTTCTGTGTTGGTTCATGAAAAGTCTTGTCCCCTTAGTGAAATATTCATTTCTTGCAGCTCCAGGCTGCACCCCCATGTCCATCAGTCTAGACAAGGATACGGAGTCATGTCCTTTGGTGTGCTACTCGGTATGGTAAGTGCAGCGCATGGCATTGATAACATCACTTCTGACCAGTACTGGACCAGACATAGCAACCGCAGCGTCAGCGAGATAGACTGCACGCTCGTTTCCTTAAACACCCACATAACCCAGCACAAAGATGAAGGTTAGGGTAGCTATTCGTGTAGTGCTTAGTTATGATAAATCCAGCTCGTACTTTTTAAAGCATATTCATCGAGTCATTAGAATTGCATTTGGCCACTACAACCACCACCACAACCACCGCTTCTGTTGCTGCTACTACTACTATTTCTTCTTCTTTCGCTTCTTTATAAATCTGAGTCGTTCCGCATCACCTTTTTCTCTTCCTCTTCCTAAATTGTATAGTTATTCACGTACTTCTACCTTGGCCAGAATATTCTCTCCCCCTACCCCTACCTTTGTTGTTGCGGTTTTTTCGATAAAGGCTGCTGTTGAAACTGACTGTTCCTAGTATGTATTTCCACCCTCCCGCCGTCGTTAAGCTTATTTTGTTGTCTTTTCCCTATAATATAAATATCCAAGAGGGAGACCAACTCACCCCCAGCCCCCTTTTCCAACCATGCAAGGGCGCTAGAACATGGGCTCTTATTTCAATTGAAGCCCCCCCCCCCCCCCCCCCAACTCCTCCAGGAGGTTAAGCTGCATTACCTAACTATACACATGTTTTTTTCAGCATTCGTTAACATATGTCATATATTATTTAATATAGTATTAAGAGCTATAATGACCGTATCAAGACTAAAATCATCGAGCTCCCCCCACCCCAACCCCCATCCCTCTTTGTAGATAATGATGGGGTTATTCTCCCCCACCCCAACCGATATTTTCTCTTGCTGCGCCCTGGATAAAAAAAAAGTATGCTGGGTTATTGTACTTTTTAACTATGACAAAGTACGGTGCTGTTAATTGTACTAAGTAATAAATACCAATAACTCTGATTCAACGCAGTTTTCAAAATGATGATACTATATTTGTTGCTTTAAAAATAAAATTATGTTTGTCTAAACCGTTTTCAATGTTTCTAGCGCATAGCGTACGCTGTTTATTATTTCACTGCAGTGATAATTCATAGTCACCCCATATTTTCTCTTGCAGCGCCATGGATCAAACAAGTATGCTGGACCATT